TTTCCCCCCCCCCCCGAATATTTCCCTCAATTTCTCCCCCTCCCCCCGCCCTCTACCTTTGGAAACCTTTCAATGAATGGTGGGATTTGATAGCTTGATGCTGAAAAAGTGAAGTTATGAAATCAGCGTTTTGTGGGCCCTTAACCATTAGAAGACTAACCGTTTATACCCACACGAATGCCTAACCCGGGCCTGCGAGGACCGTATTGAGAATGTATGGTTATTTGATAGCTGCGATGCTTTTTTTCTGTGTTTTTTTGAAGAATTTTATGATTTTCATACTTCGTCTTCTATTACCAAGGTTCAAAATTCTCTCTCCACCCATAAACTGCCCCCCTCTCCCTCTAAACCTCCCCCTCTCTCCCCAGTCCTCTCAGATCTAGGAGCCTTATAAACACATTTTTATGTCTTTTTTGAGATTTTGAAGATGTTACATTGAAGGAACATTAATACCCCTGGAAGTCTCCACACATCTTAGTATTCATGTGCAAATGATGGCACGCTCCGGCAACAAGGTTCTGTAACGAAATCATTTTTGTCTCCAGAGTCTCCAAAATGTATACATCTTAGTGATCAAACGTCCAATCACTGAGAAAAATGGCTCGCGTAGCGAGCCGAATGTCACTCGCGTAGCGAGTGATCGGGCGTCCAGGGGGCGCAGCCCCTTGGCTGGCCGTTCTGGGCGCGCTAAGCGCGTCCAGAACGGCTAGTATTTAATGCAATTGCATTTATATTGAGTCAATTCCTTTTTAATAATATAACGGGATTTATAATACCGGTGATTTGGGTATTTTAGCCCCAAAATACCTTTAAATCAACTTTATTTTCTAGGAGTTCGACAGATTTTTTCCTTTCTTCGCTTAAATTATTCCGCAGCACTTTTCTTCAAGAATCTGGCAAGATTTTGCTTGAGGCAGATCAAAAAATTTAAATTCGTTCAAATAGCTTTCTACATTCACAATACACGGTCTCGTCAAGGTGCGTCGTTGACCTCGCAGTGTTGGATTGTGAATTCTCTTGTTGTGCTGCTTGCCTATTTTGAAATCTCTGTAAATGAAAACTAAAGGGGTTGATATGTGCGAGTTAATGACGCGCCTTATCAACACACTGTGTTGGAGTTCATTGCTTGTTTTTGTATACCCCGCTTAGGTACTGGTGTATTTGACGCGGCCTATGCGGGAAACTGAATTCGTCGATAGTACATGCGTGGAGTCATGGATTTCGGAGATCATGTTGCCTATGCTGAAAATTGAAGGACATTCATCCGTGGTTAAACTCATGGGAGAACTTCAGCACAAAGTTGATTCGTACTGTGCCTTTGAACACGCATGTTTGGTTAGCGAGAGGATCCTCCGGTAAGAAAAGTAAACGAAAACGTATACAGGGTGTTTCAGACCACCCGTACCAGGCCTTTTTCTCGGTTGGTTTAGGTCGCACGAAGTCGGAGACCGCGGGGTTGAATAGGGAATTGACCCCAAGGAATCCGAATTTCGTGGTCCCGAAACCCCCCCCCACTCCCCCTTAGGGGGTAAAGGGGGGTCACGATGCTAAAAGTCACGGTTCCCGACCGAATTGCGGATAGATCGCATCAGAATTGAAAAGCACGGAAAATTTCACGTGGAAATGACCCCTAAAAATCCAAAATCGGACCATCCAAGGCCCAAAAATGACCCCCTAAAGAGGGGGACAGTACCCCCCTCCATAATTTCTCCTTGGTCTCAAAATTGACGTAAATTCTCCAGAAAAAGACGGTTTCTCAGGTAGGTAATCGACCCCGAGAAATCCAAATTTCATGGTCCCGAAGCTCCTCTAGCCCCCCTTGAGGGGTAAACGGGGGGGCCAAATTTTAATAATCGGGGCTCCTTTCCGAATCGCAAATTGATTGCATCCAAATTGAGGAGCAGAACACATTTACATCTTAAGTGACTCCTAAGAGTTCTAGTAGACCCCCTGAATGGCAGAAAGTAACTCCCTGAGGAGGGGGCTTCGCCCCCGCCAAAAATTTCTCAAGATTCCTCTTTGGTCGCAAAATTAAAGTCGATTCTCCAGAAAAAGACGGTTTCCCATGTAATCGACCCCGAGGAGCTCAGGGAACATGAAATTTAGAGTCCTCGGGGTCGATTACATGGGAAACCGTCTTTTTCTGGAGAATCGACGTCAATTTTGCGACCAAAGAGGAATCTTGAGAAATTTTTGGCGGGGGCGAAGCCCCCCTCCTCAGGGAGTTACTTTCTGCCATTCAGGGGGTCTACTAGAACTCTTAGGAGTCACTTAAGATGTAAATGTGTTCTGCTCCTCAATTTGGATGCAATCAATTTGCGATTCGGAAAGGAGCCCCGATTATTAAAATTTGGCCCCCCCGTTTACCCCTCAAGGGGGGCTAGAGGAGCTTTGGGACCATGAAATTTGGATTTCTCGGGGTCGATTACCTGAGAAACCGTCTTTTTCTGTAGAATTTACGTCAATTTTGAGACCAAGGAGAAATTATGGAGGGGGGTACTGTCCCCCTCTTTAGGGGGTCATTTTTGGGCCTTGGATGGTCCGATTTTGGATTTTTAGGGGTCATTTCCACGTGAAATTTTCCGTGCTTTTCAATTCTGATGCGATCTATCCGCAATTCGGTCGGGAACCGTGACTTTTAGCATCGTGACCCCCCTTTACCCCCCAAGGGGGAGTGGGGGGGTTTCGGGACCACGAAATTCGGATTCCTTGGGGTCAATTCCCTCTTCAACCCCGCGGTCTCCGACTTCGTACGACCTAAGCCAACCGAGAAAAAGGCCTGGTACGGGTGGTCTGAAACACCCTGTATTAGAGAAAAAACTTCCGGGTTCCGTCAAAGACAAGAAGACGGAGCGCTAAAAGAAAAAAAATGAAGCCACCTCTCCGACTGGCGAAAGAATTGGCGGCAAAATGGAGACAAGTTTGACATTCAAATAAAGAGCGGCAACGGAATAAAATTAGGTGAACAAAAGTATTCTAGGTTGATTTTTGCTTAAATTTACTTAGGTACCCACGTGTATTTTTTTAACTTCAGATTATTTATGGTCCATCATCGACCGATTAATCTCGTATGGGTATAACAATCATCTGGGACCGTAACGCCGTTACGGCGTAACGGCCTGTTTCAACCGGCGGGATTGCCATGAACAACAGAAAAATTAACTTTATGTGAGATCCGTGCTTGTAACCAAGTCAAAGTAGGTTCATTATAAAACTAGCCGTCCCCAAGTAGCAGTAATCGCGATAAATTGCGATTTAATCGGAGAATGTATAGCGATTTTATCGACGTCGCGATTTATTGCAATATTATCGGATAAAAAATCGCGATAAATTGCAATAAAATCGCGATTTTATCGACGGCGATTCATCGCAATATTATCGGGAGAAAAATTGCGATTAATTGATATAAAATTTCGATTTTATCGAACGCGATTTTATAGAGATAAAAGTGCAATAAATTGCAATTTTTCATCAACGCCCACTAACGCATGAATGACGCTTATGAAAAATGTTTCTATGCCGCCGCCGCCGTTTTTGCCAAGGTCCGTTGGTAACTTTACCATCTCTTTTTTTTACCAATTATTGGTAATGTTACCAAGACGCACTGGTAAGCTTACCTAAAAACCGGTATTTTTACTGATTTTTTCAGGTAAGAACTAAGAACACCACTTTTATTGGTAATCAATTCCCGGTAACTTTACCATTTTATCTCGGACCACAGTCGATAAAAAATATTGTGTTTTTACAAAGGTCCATCGGTAACTTTGCCATCTCACTATTATTGGTAATTTTACAGAGATAGAATGATGAGATTACCAATAGACCCTTATTTTACCATCCGTATTTCAAGGTATGAAATAAAATACAGAGGAGGGAAAATAAAAAAAAAATCCAATGAAAACTCGGTGTCAGTCTACGCAATGACAAAAGTTGTAATGTTGCGAAGCGCCGATCCACCTAAGAGGCTTCAATTCGCACTCATTAACCACGTAGTGGCTATAGCCTAGGGGCAATGTGCTGGCCTGCCACCACTGGGACTCGGGTTCGAATCCCTGCGGAGGCCCCGGGGAGTTTACGCTCGTCTTCGTGAAAGGACCTGACGACTGAACCTGACGGAGGTCGGCTGACAGCGCCAACCCCATTTTTTTGGCGATTTTATCAGCAATAAAATCGCTAGGATCATCAACATCTGCGAGCGATTATACTCGATCTTATCGCGATAGAATCGCAATAAAATCGCGGAAAGATCGAGGATAATCGCTCAGATTTTGATGATCCTAGCGATTTTATCGCAGATAAAATCATAAAAAAATCGCAATTTAATTTCGAAAAATCGCGATTTTTCTGTTGAAAAATGCTAGGTACTTGGGTCGTGCGAGCTGTCACGCCTAGCCGGAGAGTGCGCTCCTGGACTCTGGACCCCCGATTCTGTTGTCTTTGGGTTCCATTCACTAGGCTGATAAAAATATTTATGTTCCTTTTGGACAATACAGGAAATGAAACACAAACCACCCCAAATCTTGTGTTGATGTTGGCACAGTTTGCGGTGAATTTAGCGCAGAAAACAATGAAGAGACTGGGAAACCTCAGAGTCAACCGAATGCTCGGGTATTTTAAGCTTTACTTCCTGCGTTAATCAAACCTTTGCGTTGAGTTTTCTCTTAGTGATGCTTAGAAACACTGCGCAATTCAATAACATGCTGCTTCAATCAACTAATGAGCACAGCAGCCGGCATAAGCATACCCATTTCTGCCGGAGGACCTCTCAATTTGTCAGTGTTACGGAATCAGAAGCAACGAAATAAAAAGTGAAGAATGGAAAAAAAAATCGTACGATTTTCAAAACATATTTTTAATCTAATATATTATCTGGAGAACAGTTTAGTGGCTACTTACTTTTTCAAGCTCAAATTCTCTTATCCGATGAATACTGCCACTGATGGACTTTTTCGAAAAGCCCATCATATTTTGTCGAGTCTTGAAGACGTTTCCAATGGCTCACATAACTAAGGAAGTGAATTCACAGCAAGTACGGTTTGGATTCGGCACATCCATGCTTTGTCAATTGTGTTCGATTTATTACATAAAGCTATTCTCTTTCAGAGCTTAATACATTTCACTCCCCAGGACGCACATTCAATTACTTAAAGGACACAGTTCCTAACTCATCCCGACGTATATTTACCACTTAAAGGATCACATTCAGGCATACCTGGTTGAAAACATCCATGTCAAATTGAAGCTGAAAAGAGGCTTTTGAACCAGGTGGGCACATACAGCTAAAGTTAAACGTTCCGCGCCCTGAACCTCTCAAAATGTCGCGATTTGTAAAACGAACTCCCGATGACTTAAATAATTATTGTCAGTCACTCCGGTAGAGACGATAATAAGCCGCAAGAATTTATCATGAGACATCCTGAAAACGTAAATGAGGGTTTCGTTAGCTTTAAAACCTGGCTATCTACTTCATTGTAAATACATGTGTACTGAAGTATCATGAAGGTAGGCTTAATGAAGCGAGATACGGTCCTATCTCCAACTGAAAATTTAGAGATAAGTAAGTAGTAGATCTCGCACGAAAGGGGTATGTTTTGAGGGTGGTGGTTCTCGCCTAGGGCTGTTTTGGTATTGAAGTTGAGCAAAACGTTTCAGCCGTTTCAGAATGACGAGCCATGAACTACCATGGCGGGTGAAAAAGAGGGCGGTCGCACTGTGTGTCAGGGGAAAGAAGTTTTTGGACGAAAAATTCGTCACACACTGGGTCAGGAATAGGAATTTTCTGAAAAAAATTGTTCATTACACAAAGGCTCACGGATGGCTTTATGACTACCACTACCACTTCGAGAAATACCTACACTTGCTTCCTACGCGCGGGACACTTTTAAAAAGACGAAACAACCAGATGCGCATAAACCCTGAAAGAACGCATGCGAATTTAAGCGCGCGTTTC